GATCTAAATTTTGGATTTTTTTACTAAAATATCCTTATTTTTTGAACTTGGTCTCCTATATTATGAGGGCAAAAAAATATAATTTGAACTATTATTTTTATTAAATTCAACATATTCTTCATCATTAACTCATATGTTTAAGGTATTAAATCTTATTTCTTTTAATTAAATCTTACATTTAAGGGGCATTAAGTAAATGAGCTTTGTGGATTTTTCTGGACAAAAAACACCCATATCTATTAATTTAGTCCCTCTTTAATTGTATGGGCAAAACAAGTAATTTAAAGTACTATTAATTTCTACTTCATTAAATTCCCTCTCATTAAGGCATAAGTTCTCATTCTCTCTCCGTATATACTTTATTTAAAGTGCTTTTTTTGTTTCTAACCAATAAAATTAAATCTATATCCAGTATTTTTTAATAATGTAAAACCTATGTTCAAAACCAACATGAAAAATAATTAAATAAACCACATTTTTGTCTAAGTGGAAAGTAAATAGTTCAACCATCAACATCAAATAGGTTAACCAATATTGTTCTCATAGTTAAATAATAAAAGATTTAAATTACAAAAATTATAAGAATTTTGTGAAAAAAATTAGGCACATCTCTAATATTATCTATTTACCATATTAAACAACAATAAGCATGTTAAATAAAAGTATTTTATTCAATGAAAATGAAATAAAAGATTTAAAATTGATCCAAAAACGAAACCATTTTCCTACTCAAGTGGTGGGTCAATGATTTAACCTTTTAGGTCAAATGGATCAATTTATGATATCATAAATAAAATAAAAATTAAAAAAAGGTAGAGACACAAAAATTGTTAAAAAAATAGAAATTTTGTAAAACAAATTGGGTGCATCTCTAATATTATATATTTATTAAACAAAAATAAGTGTGATACATAAGAGTTATTTTTGTTATTGATAGAAAAAGAATTAAAAAGTAAAGTAACATAAAAAATGCTTTTGCATTTAATTAATGATAAATGGTCTATAGGGAGGCAAATTAGGTGGGCTTAATTCGAGCTCAAATTGACCCTAATTTTAAACAAGCTAAATTCAATTTTCAATCCTCGACTTGGGCCTATGTTTAGGCTCAAAAGTTTGGGCTTTTTTATATTTCGGGTTGGGCCTAAGCCTAGCCCTTAGGTAGCTAAAACCAAGCTTGATTATATACATGCAATCATAAATATATATGTAATTATGTAATTATATTTGCATACATACATATATACATACATACATAGGTTTTATGTCAAACTTTGTCATAGGCTAATTGATAGAATCAAGTCCAAGGCTAACTCAGTGTATGTGTTTTTTTCTCCACATACATACATATATGTACTTATATAAATAAGTGGAAAATAAGACATGTATGTGTTTCTTTAGGCAAACTCGGATTGGGTTGGGCTGGGCTTGGGCTACCCGAAGCCTCAACCCAAGTTTAGGTCAGGTCAGGTCTAAATTTTAAGGCACAGATCCAGCCCATAGTCCAGAATCTTAGGTCCAATTAGTGCAAAAACTCAAGTTAAATTGGGTTGGGCTCGGGTTGGACCCACCCAAATTGCATTCCTAGGTGAGGGGCATTATCATTGGTCCCACAGCCAGTTGAACAACTATTGCACTCAGTTAATCCTATATCTTTGAAAACTATATATAGCAGTTCGTTGTGATTGAAAACATAACTTTGAGGGATTTAATGGTTTTCTCGGACTAAATGCATCTCCCCTCCAAACTTCTAAAAAAACCAAACCAAACAATTTCCTATCTAGTCTAGGATTAAAATATTGATATGCCTAATATTTTTTTTTACTTTTATATTTTATAAGAATTAGAGAGCTATGAGAGTGACCTCCAATATTTTAAATATTATAAATTTTTTATATTAATGTATCCAAACATATCTAGATATACCAATAAGAATATGATATATATCATATTAATATTTTAATCCTTTTAAGTAGTTAAGTCTCCAAAACATTGATGGTACATTTAAATCATTTTATTGGTCACTTTACCATATATTGATGAAACCTGCAGGTGGCTCACTCAAAGAAATTGCCACGAACCCAATTAACATTCTCTGTTTTTCTGATATACGAACAAGTAGTAATACGTTCTCATTGACAAAGCTAATCAAACCTAGACCAAGCTTGGCATTTTACTTTGACCATGCGGAGTAAGATTCAATCACTTAATAGCTAAGGTAAGACCCTATCTACCTTGTCAACGCTTCTGATTCTTTTACTTCTTCTTAAATTTGGAAGAGGAAAAGTATTAGGGCGAAGTTTCTAAAGAGTTGCATAAATTGGTTGTTTATTATAACCATGGATCCCTCGTGTATTAAACAAGAAATGCAAGGTGCATCACCCTTAATTCAGCGCCACCACATATGTAAGGTGGGACCGAAGTGAAGTAGGGTGATGCATCATTATTATTCGTAGAACACAAAGGTTCATTCGTTTACTTGTATCTTGTGAGGGTAAATTAGTCAATTGGATAATTGATCATGATTCCCACATTTATATTGTTAATATTGAATTCCATGGTAAGCGAATTTTTCGAAGAGCATTAGTCATCTAGATAATCAATACCCTCTTGAGAGAAGCTACTTACCTGCCCACTGAAAACAATAATTTCCTCCCGTTGGATAAGTAAAAATGCACACGAGTGCTGATACCTAAGTTATTGGAGTAAATTTTCCCTAAAAACGCTTGCCCTGATAAACTTTTTTACCCAATTAAGTAAAAATGAATGGAGCCAAAGAGACTTACATCAAGCGGCTTGAATATATAGTCCATGTATTTGGATTAATTAAACAATTCCTTTCTCAAAGGTCAAACGTTAGTTTGATTAAGGAAAGATAAGAAAATCTTTATAAAGCTTATATACGTTTTTCTTCTTTTCTCTATTTTTTCTTTCAAATTAAATATAGCCTAAAGGTAATCCCCCATCAAGACCGGGATGTGCATCGTGTGGCAGGCAATTAGTTAAGGTGAATGAACTAATGAAAACTTCTTTCCTATTAATTAAGTATATGTTTGGCATCAATGTTGCAGTTGCAATACCATTTTTTTTTCTGAAGCAACAATAACTTTTTCTGTTTAATACCATTGCTCTAGAAAATATTTTTAACACTGGTACTCATTATCTAGTGCCACATCACTGTCCTATTGGCAGCAATGAGTTATAACTCTAGGAAATGCCAAATTTGACATTGCTCCAAGCCATGGCTTCCCGATTTCTAAGGCGTGGCTCGAAACATTATTTTTTTTTTATGAAAAAACAGTTCCAAACAAATACCCATTTCTTGAAACACTGTTTTTTCCTATGTGATGCCGATGTGACGCCGTTGCTTCAAGAAATGACAACGATATCAAACAGCCCCTAACCTTTTATCAAATGTCTAGTCATGTGTCATCGGCTACAAGAATGGTCAGAAGAAAGATATAGATGAGACCGTGGATAGCATTTCAATGTGTTAATTAAGTAGATGCAACGGTTATCCTTATCAATAGGTTGGATGGTTGAAGTCTAATGATCTTATGTGCTGGAGCTGAGTATGTAAGATCCAATTTATCAAAAAGAAAAGAAAGAAAGAAAAAAAAAAGAATACGTACTAGTTAATGTGAGACCGGATCTACTCTTTACACAGGGCACTTCACTCGTGTCTCACACGTACATCGTACCATACATTGAGAACATCTCTTGTACTTATAAGTTATTATACATGGGAGATGTTCTCAATGCACGGTGGATGTGCATATGAGGCGCTCCTATGTGAGGAGCAGATCCCGTTCCAATTGATGTATGAAACTGAAGTGATGAGATCTGCTCCTCACAAATGAGCGCATCACAGGCATATTCACTGTGCATTGAAAACATCTATGGGAGATATTCCCAATGTATGATAGAATGTGCGTGTAAGGCGGCAGGTGTGAGGAACAGATCCAGTCTCGAAACGGAAAACGTGGAAAAGGTACAATCTGATTTTGGGATCAAATACTGAGGGTTGGAGAGGGAATGTTATGGGATGGGAGATGGATTATACCCCGTTGTGAGGCCCATAAAACCTATCTCACAACTAAGATATAATAATCAACCAAAGAGTTCAGATTTGCGTCTTATGTAGCACTCCTCATGCCAAACTCACAAGTCAAACTCTACAAGGAATAAATCCAAATGGGAATTCCTACTCTTTTTTCTACCCACTCTTTACCCGCCATGAATGGAGACACACAAAGAGTGGGTAGAAAATCTGGGTTCGAAAAAATCTCACAGCTCCAAACCAAATGACAGTAATTATTTGATAACCGCTAAAGTGAACCAATTGAATGACTTGTTATTTTATCTTTTAATTTACCATTTCCAAAATACCTACAACCTTTTAATAAATAAATTAGTATAAATGGCCCGTATTATATACATAAAATATAAATATATAAATTAACATTATAAAATCAAATTTAACTATTATCATATGCACTAATTTATAAATTAAAAAATAAATAATAATTCATTCAATTCACCTACTTTGAACCGTTATCACTTACTAATTGCACCGGGTTAACCAGGTATATATCCATGAAGCTGGATCGTAGTATCCTGCACCAAATGGACGTTGAGTGGTGAATCTGAGTGGTCATATTTCTTGTCCTCCAATCAACTTAGCATTAATTAATTGGTGAAAAGGGACGTGAGAAAATTCAATGAGTAGGAAATTTCCTAAGATAATTTCAGAAATATCTACCATACCAATAACCTATTAACCTTGTTTATATAGAAAACCTCTGAAATGCCACTTCTCCAAGGAAGGCTGTTTCTAAATTCTTTCATTTGGCAAATTTTGATGGCGATCGAGGGCGTAAAAGCTAACACCAAACAGCAGGATAGACTTTACGTGAGACTGGATTATACTTCATGGAAAATGAAAAACTATAAAAATATTCAGTCTTATCCCACCAACCGTCAATCAGACCAAATGGTCTCTCTGATAAATTGCGGGAGAGGGTGCGTTATAAGGCTATCTCCTGCGTCTCTGATATGCACCAATATGCTTGGATGGATTTTTCGTAATAGTGGTGGTTTTAGAACGCAGAGGAAGCTCCAAAATCAATTGCAGTTTCAGTGGGAGTGCTTAAACTGGCTAACCCACGTCAGAAATCCTTTCATTTGAGTTGTTTGGTTCAGAAAGTGGGGTTTTGAACATGGGTTTGCTGGGGGAAACCCTGACACAGATTCTGATACCTGTGGCTGCAATAGTTGGGATTGGGTTTGCTCTGTTGCAGTGGCTCTTGGTTTCAAGGGTCAGGGTGTCGGCCGACCCTGACTCCGGTTTGGACAATGGGTGTAGTGATAGGTTGATTGAAGAGGAGGAAGAGTCTGTTGACATTCATGGTGTTGCCGCCAAATGTGCAGAGATTCAGAACGCCATATCTGTTGGTGAGCTTTTTAAGAGATCTTCGAAAGGACTCTTGGGTGCTTTATTTTTTCTGATGAAAGTTTGATGTTTTTATCAGTGTGTTTAATATTTATTTATTTCCATTATCTTGTTTGATAGTCGGAATGACGGGTTTGTGATTTTTTTTTTTAATGTTTGAGATATCTTGTTCTGCTCTTGTTAATTGTTTTAGTAACTAATTGGTTAATTAATTATTCTGACGAGCTTGTCTTTTTCTTTTTATTTTGGCTCAAAAATTATAGTTAAAGGCAATTAATCTTTTATCTCTGGATCCAAGATATTTTTATTTCATTCTGTATGTGTCTTCTGCATTTCTGCTTGAGTTTCTATCCGTTATTCAATTATTTTTCATATGCTTTTCTTATTCTGCTTGGCCTTTCTTATTTAGTTATTTATATGCAAAATTTCTTGCTACTTTGGTTCCAGATTTCATTCTAAAGGAATGCATCATCGTCCATCGTTCGTTCAGGATTGATACATCTCTGTTTTTCCCCCGACTGCTCAACTGATTTTGTTCTATATTTTGATTGTTTTCTATTATTCCCTTTGATTTCATGGCTCTACATAATTCTGGTCTTGAATGATCTCTGCATCTCATTCTGCTCTACCCCTCGTTTGCAAATTAAAGTACTCTAGCAGATAATTTTACTTTGAAGAGCAAGTTTATTTCATAGAAATCTACTTTTCATCAGCAACAGCAGATGATAATTTCGTTGTTATAGAGATCGGAAGAAAATTACCAACATTTGGAATTCAGGGACAAGAACAACAATTGCACAAGGCCATTTTTATGCAAAAAGTGGCTGCTCTCGGAGTTGATTTAACCCGAGATTTTTCCATTACACCAACCCTAGTTAATCTTAAGAAGCAAACCTCTCTCTTAAGGCTGTGTTTGGTTGCAGTGCAAATTTATTTGCACTAGTACAAATGCATGGAGTGCAAATGGAAAAAAAATGCAAATTCTCATTTAATTTTGTTCTGGGTTTTATTTTATTCTGCTTCATATCTTAATTTACTTCATTTGTACTTCAATCAAACAAAATAGAGTTAAAATTTGAAACAAAAATATGTCAGAATTTACACTCGAATCATTCGCATTGCCATAGCTTTACATCAATGCAAATTTATTTATATTGCAACCAAACGCAGCCTAAGGATTTGTGTATTCTCGGTATTTATTTTTGGAACGAAATAATTGTCCACAGTAAGATTTCCTTTTGGGTGGTTAGTTTCACTTAAGGCTCAGTTTGGAAGGAGTACAAATACAAATATATACCGTACAAACTTGTTCAGTTGTTAGTTTCACATGCATTTACACGTTTACATATACATGGATACACTGAAAAAATTGCCATTGATAATGTTCTCATTTTTATTCTTTAGTCTTACCAGTATCATGCTTGCAGGGGCAACTTCATTTCTTTTCACTGAATACAAGTACTTGAGCATTTTCATGACTGTTTTTGGTGCCATCATTTTCCTCTTCCTCGGTTCAGTTAAAGGTTTCAGCATTAAGAGTGAACCTTGCACCTATAACAAGGAGAACCTCTGTAAACCAGCTTTGGCCAATGCCATCTTTAGCACGGTTGCTTTCTTGCTTGGTGCTCTGACCTCTGTTCTTTCGGGGTTCCTTGGAATGAAGATTGCAACCTTTGCAAATGCAAGAACAACATTAGAAGCAAGGAAGGGTGTAGGTAAGGCCTTCATTACGGCCTTCCGATCTGGTGCTGTCATGGGGTTCCTTCTGGCTGCCAATGGCCTCTTGGTTCTGTATATTTCCATTAATCTCTTTAGATTATACTATGGGGATGACTGGGAGGGGCTTTATGAGTCCATTACTGGTTATGGCCTTGGAGGTTCTTCGATGGCACTCTTCGGAAGAGTTGGAGGAGGTATATACACAAAAGCAGCTGATGTTGGTGCTGACCTTGTTGGGAAAGTTGAACGAAACATTCCTGAAGATGACCCACGAAACCCAGCTGTAAACTTCCTCGTGCCTTTTGCCTCTCTCTTTCCTGTTTTTCCTATCAAGCTTATTAGCTAGTTCTTTATTTGCTTATGGTGTTTCTACCTGCATAAAGTATACACATATACCGTGAGAGGTGTCTGATATGTTCATATATTAAACAATATTCAAAGAATGGTTTGAAAAATAATCAAATTAAGGCCTTCCAGTTGTGAGGAACTAGAAGGAAAGTGGTGGTATAATATCCTAGAATTACGTTTAATTAGTGCTAGCTATAAACTATGTCGGTATACACATAACATGCTAGAGATTCCTACCATCAAAAGAATATGTCTTACCTACCTTCACTGGATCTTTGCAGGTTATTGCAGATAATGTTGGTGACAACGTTGGAGATATTGCAGGGATGGGCTCTGACCTGTTTGGTTCCTATGCTGAGTCATCCTGTGCTGCATTGTTTGTTGCATCAATTTCCTCCTTTGGCATTGGTCATGACTTCTCTGCCATGTCTTATCCTCTGATTATAAGCTCAATGGGAATTGTGGTTTGCCTCATAACCACACTTTTTGCTACTGATCTCTTTGAAATAAAAGATGTGACTGAAATTGAACCATCCTTGAAGCGACAGCTTCTCATATCAACAATTCTGATGACTGTTGGGATTGCCATTGTTAGCTTTGTTGCTCTGCCTTCCGAATTCACTCTCTTTAACTTTGGGACAGAAAAGACTGTAAAAAACTGGTATGCTTCCTTGCGGTTTTGCATCTTTGCACTTTTAATTGGTTGAGCTATTTCTTGTGCATTACTAGTTAATTCTGATTGTTTGATTCAATCTCAGGCACCTCTCTATATGCGTTTCAGTTGGCTTGTGGGCGGGTCTTGTAATTGGATACACTACTGAATATTATACCAGTAATGCTTATAGGTAAAACATGCTCTTAAGATTTATCCTGACTTCTTATCCTATCCATGCGCTATATTTGGACAAGTATGCTTCTCTTTGCTATTACAGGTATTACTGTTATGATAGTCATGTCAAAATGGGAGAATGGGGAAAAACTGTCTCATCTACTTGCCTATCTCCACCTTAAATGTATCTGATCAAGATAATATTTTAGGTTGTAAAATGATTCACTTGGATAAAATAAATTTTATGGTTCAACTTCCCAACCTATGAGTACCATACATTGAGGTTAGAACCACCCAACCAAATTGAATTTTGGTTCAAAAATCTCTGTTTTGTAAGACCCATTGAGTGGTTTCGGTTGACACACTCAAGCGCCTGGGAGGACATATTTTTCTGCATTATTCCACTTGGTTCAGCTATCCTTTACACTGGATAAAATTAGTTTCTTTTTGTGAACGAGAGAAAATAAACTTGTCTATCATTAATTCCCAAAGGGTGGGGTTCCTCTTTTTTCTCTGGTCTTATATATGCAGTGGGAAAAAAGTAAATTGCCTACTGGACAGGTTATGTTATTCATTGAAGAATTGTTGATTCTTATTCTTTGGAATTGGTTGAACATTGCAGTCCAGTGCAGGATGTAGCTGACTCTTGTAGGACAGGTGCAGCAACAAATGTTATCTTTGGCCTTGCTTTGGGATACAAATCCGTAATTATTCCCATATTCGCCATCGCCATTGCCATTTTTGTGAGCTTCAGCTTTGGTGCCATGTATGGAATTGCAGTGGCTGCTCTGGGAATGCTGAGTACCATAGCAACTGGGCTTGCAATTGATGCCTATGGGCCTATAAGTGACAATGCTGGTGGAATTGCAGAGATGGCTGGAATGAGCCACAAGATCCGTGAAAGAACAGATGCTCTGGATGCTGCAGGAAACACAACTGCTGCTATTGGAAAGGTAGGGCCAATTCAATCCCAAAAAGTATTTAGTTTGAGAGCATATGCTGTAGCACTCTAGCACAACCCGGCCATGCTGATGATGTCCTACCTATTGCAGTTTGTGCATCTGTTTATCACAATCACATAATGCTTGGGTCACACCTCATGGATGGTTTCTTACCCAAAGTTATTTGAATTGGATATTTAACTCCCCATTGTTTTGAGTAGCAATCAATATCTTGTAGGCAGGAATATTACTTGAAACTTCAGGTCCTTCTAATCCAAGTGAACTTTTACCTTCTGTTTTGTACCTTAGGCATGATTGTTCCTGTTGGTTTTCAATGAAAAAGCTACTAGTATAGGTCAGTGTTTTTGATACAGGAGAAAAAAAAAAAGAACACAAAAAATAGGAGGTTTATAGACTAGTTAGCAAGGACAACAAACAAACAAATAGACCAACAAAGGGAAGCCTGATTAATAGTTAAGTAAACCAACTTTTGAGTGGAAGAAATCCAGGATCAGTGTCAGTGGCTCAGCCAACCATGTTTATTTAGGTGGGAACCAGCATCATTGTTAATCTTTTAATCCGTGGATTCCTCTGTTTTGGATCAATGCAAGCTATTCCTGACGTGATGTTTCTTTAATGTGCAAGGGTTTTGCAATTGGATCGGCTGCTCTCGTCTCTCTTGCATTATTTGGTGCCTTTGTGAGTAGGGCTGGCATCACGGCTGTTGATGTGTTGAGCCCAAAAGTATTCATTGGATTGATTGTGGGGGCCATGCTTCCATACTGGTTCTCAGCTATGACAATGAAGAGTGTTGGAAGTGCTGCTCTGAAGATGGTGGAAGAGGTGCGTAGACAATTCAACTCAATTCCAGGGCTCATGGAGGGAAGGACAAAACCAGACTATGCAACCTGTGTGAAGATCTCCACTGATGCTTCGATCAAGGAGATGATCCCACCTGGTGCATTGGTTATGCTTACACCACTTATTGCTGGAACATTCTTTGGGGTGGAAACTCTAGCTGGGGTTCTTGCTGGTTCACTCGTCTCTGGTGTGCAGGTATGCTGCAATTGCATTACTTTAATGATGAATCCTCTTTATAGAAATTTCTTGTGATTGGTTATGAAATTATACCTCTAGTCACAGATTTGCTACTCTGGAGACTAAAAGAATTACTTGGCCATCCTTTTCCAGGTTGCCATCTCGGCCTCCAACACTGGTGGTGCTTGGGATAATGCAAAGAAATACATCGAGGTAAGGAGTTAGTCCATGAAACCTCAACCACAGAAGTGTTAGTTTTAGTTATTAATTTCATTACTTAGTTTAATTGTCATCATCAGAGCTTGATTTCCATTACTTAGTTTAGTTGTCATCATCAGAGCTTGATTTTTAATTTTTTTGGCTTTGATATGCCCATGATTTGTGTACAGGCTGGTGCTTCTGAACATGCACGTTCATTAGGCCCAAAGGGATCAGACCCCCATAAGGCAGCAGTGATTGGGGACACAATTGGAGATCCCCTCAAGGATACTTCTGGTCCTTCCCTCAACATCCTGATAAAGCTCATGGCGGTAGAATCGTTGGTCTTTGCTCCATTCTTTGCAACTCACGGGGGTTTTCTTTTCAAGTGGCTTTGAGATGGAGTTCTAGTGATCAGGGTTGAGCTGGTGGTGATCAGGGTTGGAAATCAAGAAGCAAAGTTTGCCATGGTTTTGCTCTGCTATCTACTTAGTTGTTCTAAGCAACTTCCCTGCTTAGAATCATAAATCGGATTGAGTAAGAATAAAATAGATATTCCCACTGTACGTATACCTAAATCTGTCTCTGGACTGGATTTTACTAATCATTTCCTCTTAATTCTTAGCTGCCTTGCTCATTGTATATTTGTATCTAATATAAATATTAATTTTCCTGAAAACAGTTCTATATTCTCTCCATTTTATATGTATTTGATGGTGGATGGCCTGAAGTCATAGAAAGCTTTCTTCTTTTTTTTCCCTCTTTTTTTCTTGTATAGTCACAGAAAGTTGAAGCAGACAATCAGGCATCCATTCGTCCAGCTAAACAGGAAGACTATGATTGTTTGATGAAATTTAGATTAGATGGGTGAGGGTGAGACCTTCTTTTGGAGACCATCTTCCTTCAAAAAAACAACTCAGCTCAGCCATCCCAACCAATTGGGGTGGGGCTACAGGAATCCTTAAACAAGCCGTAGCTATGAATAGCATTGCAAATATAATTGACAATTGTAGATGGAATAGGATGCAGGCTAGAATATTCCGGTAAGAAGATTGGCTGCTGTGGACAGGGCCGCTCCAGTAATAGCGCATTGAACGATCTGCTCATGGGAAATGTCTTCCGAAGTAAGTGCCAACGAAGCTCCCGTAATTGCACCTGCAACTGCACTGTTTTTCTGCACAAGACCACCACAAGGTTTCATTCATCCCATTCCATTCTCTCTCTCTCTCTCTCTCTCTCTCTAATCGAGTGTGGAGAAATAAATTAATAAGAAATAGTCTTCCCACCCAATCATGAGCTCCTCGAGCTTCCTTTAGACCGTATGTGAGGCCTGAATACATCCCAGCAGCTAGTCCTGTTACAGAGGTGGACGCATTGTTAGATTTCTTTCCTCAAAGCTGTGTTTGTGGATTGGAGCAACGTCTGCATAAGCTTACCCCATTGGAGACACTCTTTGCCTGTGCTTTTCACCTGAAAACAAGCAAGGGGTGAGGAGAGAAAAAGAGAGAGAGAAGCCAGCGCCTGCGGTAGAGAGGAAAGTATAGAACCGCCGGCGGGGTAGAGGGCCAAACCGTTATAATGTGAATTAAAAACAGAAATGTGACAACTCTAGTACCAGACTATGGGTAAAGTAAAACGTTAACCAGGATTTCTGCTTTACCATTGCTTCCAGAGATTTTCTATTGGTTTCTCCTGCAAAACAACGAGATACCAAGGAAAAAAGAGCTATTTAGACCCGTTTGATTAGATCCAAGTAGAAACCAACAATGGCCACCACACAACGAGCAACAACCATGTAAGAGTATGTGATGCATGCAGATGCAGTGATGAAGGATGAAGAAGATTTTCTTGTTTTTATTAGTTACCTTTGAGCTCTGGCAACCGTTGTTTCTTGCTCCCTGTGATAACCGGAGCACCATTAGAATCTGTCCCTGCTCCTGAACAACAAAGACCAATATCCCCACATTTTTAGCTTCGCAACTGCAGACTTTTTTTATAGCAGATACAATATTCAAGTATCAACCATTGTACCTTCAATAGCGATGAAATACACCTCCCTAGAGACCGCCTGAACTGCTCCTATCTGAAAAAGATGCAGTACCCTTATGAGAGAGAGATAGATAGAGAGGGAGAGAGAGATGGGAATTAATACCCCAGCCGCCTTAACAAAGCTCTCTGCGATACGGTTGAGAAGAGGATGGCCAAGATCGAACAAGCACTCCTTGTGGAAGCCTCGGATCTCATCGAAGAGGGATCGAGTTTCCAAATTAATACTCATCTTCTATGTATACAAGCAAGAATAGATATTATCTGAGAATAGAACAAGCAGAGGCTGATACACAGAAATTGTAAATTCCGAGAGAGCACTGACTACTGTTATTGTTGGAACTGCAAACGGGAAGGGAGAGGATGAGAGAGAGAGAGCTTTGAAGAGATCTAGAGAAGGGTTAAAAGTGGACACGTATCATCGCAGTCTTGCATGTCTAACCCTGCAACAGTGGTGCGGAGTTCGTGGCGAGTCACAGGCTTGGGTGAACGACGTGTCAACATTCAAATAATGAAAAATTGACCCTCTCAACGGATGGTTCTCCCGGACTACTGGGTAGTCCGACTCCGACCACATATGAATATTGAAAATATGGTTTACGAAATTTCCTGATTAGTACTTGAATTTTGGCTCGTGACAATTCTATTTTTTGTGAACGTTTGGATGGTTGACAAAGAGAGTTAGATGGCATTGGAAGAGCATTTTTGACTTTTCAAGAGTCACCTAAGATTGATTAAACAGGTACTGAATTGTCACATTTTTAAAGTTTGGGTATTGGATTGTCACATTTTGAAAATTCGGGTACTAAATTGTCGCATTTTAAAGTTCAGGTACCAAATTGTTACTCAAGCCAAAGTACAAGGTACTGATCAGGAATTTCTCACCATGATTCTTTTACATTTCTTTTAAGGAAAATTTCTAATTAGTACCCTATACTTTGGGTCTAGTGTCATTTTGGTCCCCGAACTTTAAAATGTGACAATTCAATATCCAAACTTTCAAAATGTGAAAATTCAGTACCTGTCGTTAACTAATTGTTAATCAACTGTTAAGTGACATTTTAAAAAGATACAAATGCCCTTCAAGTATTATCTAATTTTCTTTATCAACTATCCAAACATTGACAAAAAAATTAATAGTCTCGAATCCTTGCCTCTTCTATTCGAAAAAGTTGAAGTCACTAGAATGCTCACTCAAACGTAACCCCAACTTTCTTGAATGGAAGAAGCAAGGATTTGGGACTGTTAATTTTTTGTCAATGTTTAGATGGTTGATAAAGAAAATTAAATGACACTCGAAAAACATTTTCAAATGTCACTTAATGACAAGTTAACTGTTGATGAATGACAGGTATTGGATTGTCACGTTATGAAAGTTCGGGTACTGAATTATCACATTTTAAAGTTTAGGAACCAAAGTGGAACTAGGCATAAAGTACAGGTACTAATCGGGAATTTTCCCTTTCTTTTAAATTTATCATGACTTTTCAACAACTAATTACCTGAGTAGAGGTGTAAATCAGATCGTGTTGCCCGCGGCCCGCCATGATCATGTGGGTCTTGTTGGGCCTAGGGTTTTAGGTCCACAGGCCGGGCCAGCACGGCACGACACGCCCGAACGAACCGACCCAATCCAACATGACCCATATATATATATGTATATTATATTATATAAATTATAATTATATAATAATATATAATATATTAATAAAATAAAATTGTTTTCAATTTTATTATATTAATTTATTTAATTATTGTCTATATAAGCAATTTTATACATCAAAATCCATATAAAATTAAATTTTTTAAGTTTTTTTTTTTCAAATCTTTTAAATAAATAACTCTGGCCCAAGACTTGGCCCAAAGACCAACCCGGCCCGTGGCATGACATGACACAATACGGTCTACACAAACTTAAGCCGGGCCGAACCCCCAAATTATTCCAGGGACCGTACGGTAATATCCAATAAAAGAACATTGAAAATCTGAATTCTGATAAAAGTCTTAACTCTCAAAATATTGAAACATATCATTGTGTATCATTTTATACGTATCGGTTTTTTCAGCAACAAATCCCATACAACGCAAAAACTCTATGCACATTGCACGAGAATCCAACCACATTAAGAACATGTCTCCGTACTTCTCCGTTTAGAATTGGTTCCACACTTCCACCACCATAAATACTGCGGAAACCTGAACCAGGAAGCTCTCAACAACCGTATAAAACCCCAAGCTTGTTATTAACTGTCTTAACAACCATATAAAACCCCTTTAAGAGATTGAAAGCCATCATTGAAGATTGATGGAGAAGTGAAGTTTTGTCATGTCCATCCAGAAAACCAACAAAAAGCTCCAGATTAGTTAGCCAATTCTTAAGTGTTGAAAACCTGCCTAAACCTTTTAACTGTTATTAATCATTTAATTGTTTAAATTTCTGGGGACATGCTACCTCGTTCCGTGTAACCCCTCTTCCGTTTTATTAAAAAAAAGGTGGATTGCAGTCTAACACCCCCCCCTCCCCCCAAAAAAATAAAAAAATAAAAAAAAAACACAACATGTAACATATTATCAATGTGCAACTGCATTCAATCCATCGAATAACTCTAATAGTGGGTTGATTTTATTTGTTTTAAATATTTTTATGGCTTAAAAAAACCACTAAATCATGTGACATATGCATTATTAGACAAATAAAATGGTAAATTGTTGATACTTCTCCTGAAATTTCTAGTAGTTGCTTTTGAAATCACACCATTCCCGTTGGAAACTTGGAAACCGCTCACGAAAGGAGTTAAATGACTAAAATACCCATTGCTCCTTTTTATTTTTTCTTTTCATAGTTTTGGTAAGGGAAAAACGACTAAATTTCAGAAAAATTACACATTCTGATAAGGACATAAAGTCATAAAACATTGTTCATTGGTAAGGAAAAAAAAAGAAGATGACACAAAGGATTTTATCTTTTTCTGAAGAAGTTTTCATTTCCTGTTCAAGGTTGTTAGTTGTTTATCCTGAAATACATGGGAACGTCAATTCTTTCATTTTCTGCTCATGGAACAGGGAATGTGGATTTTCAATTTTGGAAATTAGTAAGACTCAATTTGGAAGGAGTACAAATACAATTATGTACAATAAAAATATACAAAAACAAAAAAATAAAAACAAAATGCAAGCATTGCACTCATCCTCTACAGGGTAATCACAGTGAAATGCTTGGCAGACCCTGAGGCCGATGCGTTTTATGCAAAGATTAGGTTGGTACCCTGAGGAATATACGGGTTGTCGAATCGAATGAGCAGCAGCATTGCCAATTTGCCATTGACGTCCATGTCTCCTTCTCCCACTGCTACATACATCGCGTTGGCTAGACTGCTGCAGTGCCCCTTGGCTATCAGCATTGGCAATCGCTTCTCCCACCGGTAACTCAGTATTGCCGTTCGTCCGCATCCAGTGACGCCTAGGACCGAATACATCAGCTTCAATTGGTTCGTGTGTTGCTGTTCACCCGCCATTCAGTATACTAAACAAGTAATTGATCCTCGCATGGAATCCCAGACTGTTGTATGCAAAGGGATCTCCTAATAAAAAGCTGTTAAAGAGTTCAGAACGTCTCACCTAGCCAAATCTAATTTGTATCATACAGTGATATAAAGTTGCTTCGGTTCACTTCAACAATTCAGGCTGCATTTGTTTGTGGTGTAAATACAAGAGTACACGGATGGAGTTTAACAACGGTCAGACTTCTGAGTATAAAAAACAAACTGGCTTTATACTCATTTTACACTATTGTGTGTGTGAATGATCAATGTAAAAGGAAACGTTGCTTAATTCTTCGGTTGCTCAATCCCTCTCCTCTTTTCTCCACTCCCAACATTTAGCATGATCTTCAAAAGCCTAAGTCGCAGTTGGGATTAAATGCTTTTGTTTTCATCATAGAACAAGAAACCCTATTTTTTTATGGTGAATCAGCGGATGAATGATGAATTGGCATTAAATATTTGCAAGAAACTAAAAAGAAAAACAGGAGAAAGAACAAGAGCTTTGTTGCCGCGCGCAGATTGGCCGAATGCAACGAGGTAAATTCACTCTTCAAGTTCCGAGGGTTGGCCGAGGACCTCAAGGCTTTGGAATGTATTGCCCAAAGCTGAGGACTACAAGCTGAGGCGAGGTGCTCCTTCCGAGGACTATGGTGGCTGAGGACCACAAGCCGAGGTGAAGTTCCTAGTGACCAAAGTTACTACAAGACAAGGAGTGTCAGAGGCCTCGGGGTGGATACCCGAGGCAAAGCCTTCGACGCTCAAGTTAGTACGAGGTGTAAAGCAGGGGAGAGTGCAAAAGTGCTCCTGAAGAGAGTCCTCGGATGCACCAGATCTCCCTGAATTATTGCTAGGTGGACAATGTAGGTGCAAGGAGTAAATGAGTGAGTGATGTTGGACTTACTCCGTTCCAGCCCCCTTTAAGGGACAGTTACCTCTTGTTTATACTTGAGCGTGCTAGTGGTAGGTAAAGATGAACACCCCGGAGTACGAGGTCAAGTTGCAGGCCCTGGCGAGTACTCTAGACAACTATGTGATTGGCTCCGTACGGAGGCAGCAGGGCTCCCTGATTGTTGCTGACGCTAACAGGCGTTAGTGGGCTGGGCCAAGCTAACCCACATCACTTGCCCCCCCACTCCCGAGACCGAGGTGAGGCCTCGACTTCTGCTCGTAATGAGGGTAGTAATCGAAGTAAGGCTTCGACTTTGGTCATTGGGAGTAGTGGTCGTTATGCCTCCGGATTTGTCAGCCGAGGGATGTCCTGCAGTGGCATCGTTTTCGTTGTTTGCGTCATCCCTCCTCGGTTCGGAAGCGTGAGCGATGTGGATGCCTCGGCTTGGCGGGGGTGTCCCATATCACACACGGGCAAGTCACGTTAGTGGGGCTACCATGTAGGGGACGACCGTCCCAGGAGTCCTATGTTTGCCAGGTTGAACAATCCGCTCAGTGGTCCGTGATAAGCGGGCCTTTTGGTTCGCTCGGCAAGTTTCCGTGGGCGATCTTCGTGATCCACCCGACGTCATTTCGCCTTCCGAGGGCATGCGCTAGGAGGTGCGGTGAGACTGATTCGCAGGAGCGGGGGGCTCCCGCATCCGTTGGATCTATGTTGATCTGAACAATTGCTTTGGGCGTCATTTCATCTTCCGAGAGCCTGCGCTAGGGGGCTCCCGCATCCATTGGATCTACGTCGATCTGAACTGTTGCTTTGGGCATCGTTTCGTCTTCCGAGGGCCTACGATAGGTGGTGCGTCACAGTTGGATGGTGGGAGCGGATTGGTTTTATCCGTCAGATTTAGAGAAATCCAAGCCATTCATTTTCCTTTAAATAGGAGCCTTGGTAGTGACTTTCTTCTCCATTTAAACCTAGATGACCTTGCTCTCGAGTGAATGCATCTCCCCAACTCTCAATTCTCCAGAACTTTTCTACTTCTTCCCTTCTTCGGTACTTTCACCCTCTTTTAGGTAATCAAGACATGTCGTTTTCAGACTCTGGTCCTGAGTGCATGAACTCCCGAACATCTCGAGAGGGAGCTCTCCAACAACCCCCTCTC